CCATGACGCAATACACCCAAGGTCTGATGTAGATAGACTCTACGCTCCAATGCGAGATGGGGGTAAAGGACTCAATAACCAGCCACGAGATCGCAACTCAAGGACTCACACAATACCTAGAATTAAATCAACACAACAAATACCTCGAAACTGGTTATAAACGAAATGCGAGGTAACAACAAGGACATTCCAACAAGAACCCAACCTATGCATCAATAACAGCAAACACCCCTAAAACATCTAAAATGAAGGAAGTAGAGAAGATCAAAGAGAAGAAAAATCAGAAAACAATTAACAGGTGGAAAGAAAAAATGATGCTCGGATACATTCTCAAAGAAACATAGAAAGAAACCGTTAATAAAGCAAACACCAACGATATTAAGACTAAAAGTCTAAAAACCAGCACAGCACAGACCAAAACTGTGCAGGATAGAAAGCGAAACCATACACCACATTGTCTCAAGTTGCTCGATCCTTGCCAAAAACGAATAACTTGGGCGTCACAACCCAGTCGCCGCCCACCTACACTGGAACACGTAGAGAGTATGGAATCAACAATTAACTGACCATGTGGTGGAGAAGATCACACTGATATGGGATCTTAAAATTCAAACTAATCAAACTATAACGGCCATTAAACCAGATCTTGTGTTAAAGAACAAAGTAAAAAAGCGCTGCCTGATAATAGATGTTTCTATCCCTTCTGACTACAACATTACCGAGAAAGAGGCATATGAGAGGCAGAAATATAAAAAAAAAAATCTACAAATAGAAATTGAGAGAATGTTGGGCATGAAGACAAGAGTTATCCTGGTGGTCATAGAAACAAAAGGGCCCATATCACATTAAATTATACTATTGATCATTAAAGAGATCCCGGGAAAACATCACTCACACATCAAACTGGAAGGCCGCGGGACCGGATAAAATTCAGAATTTCTGGATTAAGAAATTTACATCAACACATACTTACCTTGTTCAGCGTATAAATACACTTCTAGATAGTCCTAACGATATGCCTGAATGGATGACAAGCGGAATAACATATCTCTTTCCGCTTTATAAAGCTATATCAGCTATAATCTGTAGGATAATATACACTTACCTCGTCTCCAACAATATACTTTCCAACGAACAAAAGGGGTGTATTTCTAAAGCAATGGGCTGTAAAGAGCAACTCATAATTGACTCCGTTGTTCTTGAGCAGGCAAGACACAACAACAGAAACCTATTCATGGCATACGTGGATTACCAAAAGGCGTTTGACTTGGTTCCGCATGACTGGCTTTTGAAGGTATTGAATATCTACAAAATAAGCCCAAAAATAGTAAGCTTCTTTGAGAGTATACCATGAACAGGTGGAGCACGGTCCTATCATTCCAGAGTGGATCTAAGAGAGAGCTGTCCTCAAAAATTAGCATCAAACGTGGCATTTTTCAGGGTGATTCGCTCAGCGCGTTGTGGTTTTGTCTAGCGCTCAATCCTATGTCAAGAACTCTGAAGCAGACCAAATATGGGTTTAAAATTAAAGCAGGGCAAAACAACCATGTAATCAATCATCTTCTATACATGGATGACTTAAAAATCTATGCTTCAACCAAGAATCATCTGGAATCTCTGTTAAGACTTGTATAGGGTGGGCATTTTATTAGGGGCCTATGTCTTTTCTCAGAAACTACAGGGTGTACAAATAGTTATTTATGTATCAAGGGTACTAAGTAGATGATTATGCCCTGAGGGCGACAGTCTTACAAAGCCGAGGGCCTCTGGCCCGAGGGTTCGTAAATCGCCCGAGGGTATATATATCTATTAGTACCCGTGGTGCATACAAACTTTTATGTCATACCAGTTGTTGAATAATAAATACCTGGGAAAAAAGTATCACTTCGCAAATTGTCATCAGTGTGCAAACATCATCATTTTTTGACAAAAATAATATGTTTATAAGCGTAAATTTATATTTTGTTAATAAAGAATAAGTTAATTGAAAACTGTTTTTTGCGTCTTTGTGCCCGCGCGGGCCATAATGCGTACTTTATGCCCGCACGGGCATAAAGTAATGAATTATGTAGATGGTATCTAAGGTATAAAAACACAATAATGTATTGGTATGACATAAAAAAATATAAATACAAAAGATTCTTGGTTTTAAGCAATGTTGTCAATTATTGGAGTTTTATTTATACAAGGTGTTGTATATTTTAACATTTTTGGATTCCCGGAGAAAAATAAAGGTAACTTTCATAAGAACTACCTATTAGAATTTTGTGTAATTTAGGCAAAAATTAAGGTTTTGTATTTATTTTAGCAAATTTATGCCCTCAGCAAATAGTGTCTTGTGCGGCTGGTAGTTGAGATTATTTAATAAAATTTCAACCACACCTTAAGAAGACTACCTCCCAACGATCTACGATGTCTAGGTGCTTTAAATTTATACAGGGTGTCTCAGATCATAGGACATTTTTTTCTATTTTCAATTTTCAATATCCAAGTTTTTTTTAATGGAACACCCTATATTTGATATTTTTTTGTTAAAAAGGCTAAAAATACCTATCCATTCATATATATATGTCCTATACCTAAATCTAATAGTTCACAAAACATTTAGACCATTTACTTCATCGATATATTTTAATATATAATTTCAAAGAATAATCTTAAAAAATATACATCAACACCTAAATTAAAGCTAAGTAACAGACTAAAGTAAGTTTTCAATATGTCCTCCATTTTGAGCTATGCATGTAGTGTAAACGGCCTCTAAATGGTTTAACACACACACTTTATTAAAGGATCATAATATCATAAACAAATGTTTAAACTTTAAGAAAAGTTTATTTAATTTTCTAATCACCCCATTTAAAATACTAAAAAAAAAAAATATAAATATAAAACCAATACATTATTGTCCAAATATTGATTTAGCATTCAATAGAGTAGCACATATTTCTCATGATGTAAATTATGGATCATTTTTAGGAACTTTACATGCAAATGGGGCATCATTTTTCTTTATTTGTCTATATATTCATATTGGACGAGGATTATACTATAGATCATACTATTTAACAGAGACATGAATATCAGGAGTTACTAGTACTAAAAATTTTCTATAACACAATGAATGAATAGGTATTTTTAGCCTTTTTAACAAAAAAATATCAAATATTATTAATTAAAAAATTAAAAAAACTTGGATATTGAAAATTGAAAATTGAAAAAAATGTCCTATGATCTGAGACACCCTGTATAAATTTAAAGCACCTAGACATCGTAGATCTCGTCGTAGATCGTTGAGAGGTAGTCTTCTTAACGTGTGGTTGAAATTTTATTAAATAATCTCAACTACCAGCCGCACAAGACACTATTTGCTGAGGGCATAAATTTGTTATAAAAAAAAACATAACCTCAATTTCTGCTTAAATGACACAAAATTCGAATAAGGAGTCCTTATGAAAGTTACCTTTATTTTTCTCTGGGAATCCAAAAATGTAAAAATATACAAGGTGTTCCCATTTAAAATTCTGGTTTTGAAGTCGGTGAAGCACTTTTGGGACACCCTGTATAAATAAAACTCAAATAATTGACAACATTGCTTAAAACCAAGAAACTTTTGTATTTATATTTTTTTTTGTACACCCTGTAGTTTCTGAGAAAAGACATAGGCCCCTAATAAAATACCCATCCTATACATAGAATTAGCAGCGACATTAACATGATATTCGGGGCCAGCAAATGTCAGACGGTGACGATCAGGAAAACTAACAACAAATGATCCATTGCAGATGGATGACGAGACAACAATAAACTGCATGGAAAATGAATCCTACAAATATCTGGGCGTTATACAAACAAACCACATTGTGCACGGGAGAATCAAAGAAGACCTCACTAGAAAGTTTGAAAAAAGACTGCGATCAGTCACAAAAACGAAACTTAACTCTGCCAACCTAGTTAAAGCTATCAACAGTTACGCGATGCCTGTTCTGGGATATTCTTTTGGAATTGTTAAGTGGAGCAACACAGACCTGGACAGCATCAACCGGCTTGTTCGTACATCTCTTACAAGAACAAGAAAACACCATCCTAAAGCTTGCATGGAAAGAATGACAATTGCAAGAGACCAAGGTGGAAGAGGAATAGCTGATGCTAAGACTATGTGCTTCCAGCAAATTATAGATCTGAGAAAATACTTCCATCAGAAAACAGACCCACTAGGCTCTACTATAGTGAAGGCAGATCGCAAATACACACCTTTGATGCTGTCTGAACCAGAATACACGGGGGCGTGACAAACGTAACAACAATAGAAAAAAACAACCAATGGGCGAGTAAAGAACTACATGGAAGGTTTCATCGAGATCTCCATCGCGATAACGTTGATAAGCAAGCTTCGGTTGAGTGAATCAGAAGCGGTACTCTAATACCGGAAACAGAGGGATTTGTCCAGGCAATCCAAGACCAAGTTGTGAACACAAGAAACCATGCAAGGTACATACTAGGAGAAAACATCGCAACAGATCTATGCCGTAAGTGGAACAAAAATACAGAAACAGTTGAACATATCCTAGCAGGTTGCTCGACATTAGCCACCACGAAATACATAGATAGACATAACAAAGTTGGAACTAATGTGTATCTTGAGCTTGCAAAAATATTTGACTTGAATCGACTATGACTACTCCCACCTGTTAAACAGAGAAAAAAAAAATAATAATAATAATAATAATAATAATAATAATAGGTAGGTAAGAAGTAAGTCCGCGTGGGTTGCTAATTCCATACCGGACGCCTCCCCAGGTGGTGGATAGGGGAATGCCTACCAGATATGGTGGGTACCAAGGAAATCAAATACTCGGGGCGACCCAAAATTAGCATGGACGAGACGATACTCCATGTTAGGAGTGGCACTCCAACAGCGTCTGTACAGGAGCGGCTGAATACTGGTCGTCGAAGACCTGCTGGCGAGAGCTTATAGTCGTAACTCAATTTATTTGAAGCAATGAAAATACAAAATAAGGGAAAAGCCAACTGTGACGGTAGGGATATGGAAGCGAGTACCCTTCGGAACCGTCGTGATGTTTTGCTTACAGTAGATGTTGATGCGGCAAGTGGCGCCACTCCACTGAATGGAACCACAAGAAAGGTTATGAATGAGGACAACGAGATTTGCAGCAAACCAAACCAAAAAATATATTTTACCAGAGAAAATATAATCGGAGACGGCAGCTGCCTTTTTAGAGCGGTAAGCTTGCACATGTATAGGTATCAAGATTCTCATGATCAGCTGAGACAAGATGCCGTCAAATATATACGAAGAAACTGAAAAAACCAGCAGATTTATGTTGTGATGGAAGAAGACAGGTTAAAAAGTGCTACCTAGTAAATACAGCACAAATATGAGTAAGACAACAACATTTGGAACAAGCCTGGAAATACTGGCCTTGCATAAACACAGAAATCAACATTTAAAATATACTCCTCTGAATCACAACCAACAACACGAATATTCAGTACAAACCATACTCCAACATTGATAAGTAAAATAAATTATAAAAGATCATTCACTTACTAATAATTAAAGATCACCTGGCAGGCCATTTTGAGCTTTTAAAACCTGTCACTGCAAAGAACGAAATTGATGTTGAAACTGTGGATTCTCTAAGAGGGCATGAACTTGAAGAAAATAATGGTGAGGTTGCAGCTAAATCTGAAACCAGCTTATGTGTCACACGGAGTGAAAATGCACTGAAACCTGCGTCTACTAAGGTTGGGATCAGGAAAATAATACATTTATTATACGTACCTATAACTTCATAACAAAATTAGAAACGGACTTCAGTAAAGTTCGCAAAATATTACATGAGGAATTTACTAAAAATATCCTGAAGTCAATGTGTCTGAGCGAAGATTGTCTGACCAAAGAAGAGTCATAATTAAAAATAAACTGTTAAACGATGGAATACTTGCAGAAGAAAAAGGTGAAGCGTCCAAAATGATCCAGTGTCAGGAAAATGAATCAGAGGATCCTGACTCTGTATTAAACACAAAAGAAAACGGTTCCTCAGAAGTAAATGAAACTAACATAGAAAGCACAATGGTGGTAGGATCGGTATCGGAGATTCAGAGGAATGATTTTGTGTTATTGAATACTCAGGAAATGTTAAACAAGGCACTTCAGGAAAACTTAACACTAAAACTTCCGCAAAAGCTTGAAGAATATCCTGAAAATAGACCAAAACTGCCCAGATTAAGGTGTAATAAATGAATGGTTAGCATAACTGCTTTTTTTAACCTCCAGATTCTACCAAAACTGCTAAGTGGATGTTATGAACTGGAAGAAATACAAGCACTTGTCTACTCTAGTGCCTTAACAATATCGGAATACCTGTGATATAATATCACATGCTATGTTAACTCGAAAACTCCACGCAAGCAGGACCGAAGAAGACCATGGCAAATCAGACTCGATAGAAACATAGAAGCTTTGATAAGGGACAAAGGAAGACTTACTCAATATATCAGAACTCCTAAATGCACCAATAGGCTTCAAAATACATCTTCCGAAAAAAACGCGTTCATAGCACACATGAAAGCCTAAACGTAAGACCAGAAAAATTCCTAGACACTCTAAAACAAAAGCTGGCAATGAAATCCAGCAGACAATAAAGCCCTGTAACGAAGGCATCAAAACTCATTATTCTGTGCAAATGAAAAGAGATTCTATCGAGATATTATATAAACAAAAGAGACAACCTGATGCACATTTAAGTTTGCCCAATGTTGTACGAGTTTTGGTCTGGCATTTGGTGTCACTCAGTTGAAAATAATATACAAGCTAATTGAATTGAAGATGTGAAAGCGGAAAATGAAAAAATAAATTAAATGAGACCTAGAGAATTTTCAACAACAGAAATTACAAATATTATTTTTAAAAAAACTGGAGGGCTCCGGGACCAGATCAAGTGCATGCTTATTGGTATAAAGCTTTCAATGTTATCCGCGAAAGCCTCGCAAGGAATTTCTCTATAAATCTAGAAGAGAGCAAGAAAATGTCAAAGTTTTTAACTAAGGGTATAACACGCTTAATACCCAAAAGCACAGAAGGTCATTGACAGGACCCTACACAGTATGGACCCATAACGTGTTTACCAACACTCTATAAGATATTCACTTCGGCAATCTCTACTAGAATTGTTGAACATCTATAAAATAATCAAAAATTATCTGAAGAGCAAAAGGGTTGCAGAAGAAACCATATGAGATGCAAGGAACAACTGATAATTGATACAACAATACTAAATCATGCTTTCAAAAACAGAAGTAAGCTAAATTGCACCTATATTGATTTTAAAAAGGCTTTCGACAGCATACCTCATTCTTGGCTCATTCATGTACTAAATATATACAAAGAAGATCCAGCACTAGTGCAATGTTTAAAAATCCTTATGTCAGGATGGACCACAAAGCTAATGATCGTAATAAATGGGAATACTATTACCACACCCGAAGTGCCGATTAGAAGAGGAATCTTTCAGGGGGACTCCCTAAGCCCGATGTGGTTTTGTTTGTCTTTAAACCCGTTATCGTATCTCCTGAAAAAGAACAAAAAAGGATATCAATTTGATAAAAGCCAGAACAATACGCCAATTCCACACCTAATCTACATGGATGACCTAAAACTGTTCAGTGAATCTAAGAAGGACATGAAAACACTCATTGGCCATCCCATCATGTTCAGTAACGATATACGGATGGTATTCGGCATGGACAAATGCAAAACATCACACATTGCTGGAAACCAAATATTACAAATCAATAAATGCGATAGTATTAAGGCAATGGAACTTACTGATTTGTATAAATATCTGGGGTACAATCAATCCAGACAGATGGCTCATTCAATGATAAAAGATAAACTTAGAGGCGAGTACTACAGAAAAGTAAAGCTGATCTGCAAAACATCTTATATTAGCAACAAACCTAGTAAAAGCATTGAACACATATGCTGTACCAGTCCTGATTTACTCTTTTGGGATTATAAAGTGGTATCGTACTGGACATTATTAACTTAAAGATTAAAACAAGAACTATACTTACCAAATGTAATTATCATCATCCAAAATCAGCGATTGAAAGAGTGAACTTAAGTAGAGACCAGGGTCGGTATTCTCGTACTCGAAGACGCACACCGCTTTTTAGTCGCTCGGCACTTCTAATGTAAATTCACATCAAAAGTGCCGAGCGACTAACAAGCTGTGAGCGTTTTCGAGAACGAGAATACCGGCCCTGGGAAGACGCGGAATAACCGATTTGGAAAAAGCATGGGAAACCCAGATTAAATCTCTTGCCGAGTTCTTCAATAAAATAATAGATCTCTTTTACATAAATCTGTTGTAATGGCGGCAAGAACTGCACCCCATTGAAACTATCGAATTGGACAATAAATTACTTAAATGTTAATTATATACAGAGAAAACTGGACAAATGGAAAGCTAAGGAGTTACATGGCAGATTTTATCATGACCTTACGCAACCAGACATTGATAAAGAAGTGTCAAATACCTAGCTTAAGAGAGGAAATCTGTTCCCAGAGATGGAAGTATTTATGATGGCGATACAAGAACAAGTCATAAACATCAAAAATTACAACAGGAATATACTGAGAAATAATGTTGCATCTGAAAATGATATGTGCCGGAAATCAGGAAATGTAGAAAAGCCTCAGAAACGATACAACATATAACAGCCCAATGTTAGGTCAAACAGACTATTTATACCGACATAACCAGGTTGCTGCTATCATTATCATACACCAACAAATAGCTAAACATCTTAAGCTTACCAATGAAAAAGATGTCCCTTACTATAAATATAATCCTCATCCCATAATTGACAACGAATCTTACAAGCTGTATTTTGATCACGCATTGCTAACCGATAAAACAATTATGGTTAATATAGACCCGAAATTATCTTCTACGATAAAGTAGAGAAGAAAGGTTATCTGATAGATGTTGCTGTGCCGAATAATCATAATATTCAGAGAACAACTGCAGAAATAATCAGTAAATATAGTGACTTGCGGAAAGAAATGACTCGAATATGGAAAGCAAAGACAGTACAAATAATAGGTACCATCGTTATAATATTCACTAATGGATAAATCCCTAAAATCCTACATAAAGGCTTTCGATCACTTAAGGCTCCACCAGATTTGTGTGTGCAGATGCAGAAGGCCGTAATATTGAATACTGAAATATTCAAAATAAATAATAATAATTATAATAATAAATACTGATTGAGTTTCCGTCATGACGGTATAAACATTGTAGTTGAACAGATCAAGATCGACATCTTCAAAGTCACTCAGGGCGACTCAGGGCCAAGGGCTAATCATTGACATCATCATCATCATTGATTCTCTGAAGAGTGGGAACCTTTTTACTTAGAACTATCACATTTTGGCTAAAAACTACTTTAACTACGAATAGAAGGACCAGAATCTAATTTTTTGCATTCTATCCAAGTGTGATTGTTGCGATTTCTATTTGCCCTTGAACTTAATCGTCAATTTCATGTCCAGTTCCTCCTGCTTTTGTGTATAAGGTGCATGTTTATGCAAAAATTTGACTTTTGAATTTAGCACAAAAAGCTGCACATCCAGACCATAAAATAAATTCTAGCACGTGTGGAACCTTGGAAAAGCTAATAAACTAGAAGGTTTTTTACAATTGCGGTGAAATACAATCGCGCAGCTGACCACCACATGATTATTTATCCGGAATTTGTATTGGACAAAAGTCATTTATCATCCGTATATCCCGAAACGTCATCCGCAGAGAGCAAACAAAGATAAATGGACCAAGCTTTGTAAAAAAAGCTGGCTTATTTGGTTTTTAGTTTAACTCTTGATTAAAGAGAGCTGAATTTGTATTAATTTTATTTACAGCGTTTTTCGAATGAATGATTACAGTAAAAAATCAATTGCAGTATTGTTTAATGGTTTTGAAACTTGTGTTTTTCATTTATTACAGTTTTTGAGTTAGAATAATATAGATTGAATATTGGTTGAAGCTTAAATTGTATTGAAATTTTCTGCATTTCAGTAGAATAAATTACCTACAGGCACAAAATAATTGAACATTTATTATGACCCAAAAGCGTTTTCAGGTTATTGCATTTTATCGTACTTTTTCATTTCGAGTAAAGAATTTCAAATACTCCGCACCATCCAGAAGCTCTTTTCTGCCAATATTAATCATTTTTGCTTCATTTAAAACGCAGCCTTGTTTTAATTTAAAAAATTCGAAACCGTGTTTTGTTTTATTCATTGCACTAAGTAATCGCTTCAGTTGCCACCAGTTTCGAAACAATAGTCCACAATACATTTAATCTAAACAGCTTTCATAAAAGGGATTTCATTAAATAAATTCTGCATTAATGCATTACAAAGCTGTGTTACAAAACTGACTTCTTTGTATTATTATTTTCAGGCGAGAGGCTGATACAGTTCGCGTCAGAGAACCTAGTGACTGAAATCCTGATCCATCCTGCCGTCAGTACACTGTCCCAGTGCGTCCGCAATTTGCTTAGTAGTTTTACCAGACATAGACACATCATCCATGCAGGCTATACTTTCCAGGGAAACGGCTCTTGGGCTTTGCAAGTAAGAAATTCAACTTTTCATATTGAAACTTGTAATAGATCATCTTTTATACAGGGATAGATGACAAAAGCCTCAATAAATCTTGGCTGATGTAGGTATGTTACGTATCATCGAGGTGCGAGATTCCTCTAACGTTTATTGATGGATACTATTTGTAATTTTTTTTTTTCTCTATTGCCATATCGTTGAAATGTGACATTGTTGAATAAGTTCTTTAGTGTTAGCGTCAGACAAATATTTCTAAATAACCTTACTATATAATAATATGACAGGTTGCAACAGCTACAGCCTTATTAGGGACTCAATATTGATCGTGCTCAAAATTCAACAGACTGTTGAAAATAACAAAATATCATGGGACTTCGCAGAAAACTCCCTAACGTAAGAAATTCACAAGATTTTAAAGAAAGAACTACAAAGGAGTCAAAGGACCCCGCACATCTCTTATAGGTTTTTGGTTTTCTGTCAAACTCGAAACTTTGATATGTTGTATATCTTGACTTCCTGATAAAAAGTTCTCAAAGGCCCAACCCGATACTATGAATAGTTTTTGAGATACGGTAGTTCAATGTTCAAGAAATGTATGTATAGGGTGGTGCAAAAAAAAAAAACGGAATTTTGTTTTTGAGCTGTAACTTTTTTTGTTGTTGACAAATTTCCTTTTGTTTAGGCTTGTTTGAAAGAGAAATAAAGAGGCTTACGAAGCAAAGTGGAACTTTTAACAATTGAGAAAAATCCAAAATGGCGGACTTCTTCATAAATTACCTTTGGATAGCGCTGGAACTTTTTTGTGCCCCATGCATAACTTTTTTTAATAAATTCTTAAAGTTCATCATTTTGCGAAAATTTTAAGACCTTGACAAGAAAAATCGGTTGAAATTTTTGTAAGATCGAATTTCACCTTTTCTTATCCAAAATTAGGTAATTTTTGAAAAAAATTTCAAAAGTTTCACTTTGATTCGTTAACTTCTTGAATTCTCTTTCAAAAAAGCCAGAACGAAAGGAAAATGGTCAACAAAAAAAAAGTTACAGCTCAAGAACAATCCGGTCTTTTTTTTTGGATCACCCCATATATGCATTGCAATCTGCATCTACCTGTCACTCAATAATATACGAGGATTGAGACGTATCTACACACTCTCGACAAGTAGATGTGAATACATATAAAATGTGTAAATTTCTTGGACATTAAACTACCTGTATCTCGAAAACTATTCATAGAATCGGGCTGGGCCTATGAGAACTTTTTATCAGGAAGTCAAGATATACCTACCTACCACATATCAAAATTTCATCGAGTTTGACAGAAAACCAAAAACCCATAAGAGGTGTGCGGGGTCCTTACAGAAATTGCATGCCAACTAGACGCGAGCCTAGGATGCCAGAGTACCGAGGCGCCTTCTTGCCTATATTTTAATGCAGTGGTAGAATTTTCGATTATTAATGGCTTTCGTGTAAGACTTCCTACCTACAAGAGTCAGGAATAATAAAATATTGATCACTCTGTATCTTTACACAGTGGTTTATTTTTATTGAGTCAAATTACAATGGGTAAAATTGTTTTCTATTACCGGCTCTCGTCAAAGATGTTCTACATTAAGAGCCAGGGATAATAAAATATTGATCAACCTGTATCTTTATACAGTGGTGGAATTTTTTTCGGCTACCGGCTCTCGTGAAGGATTTCCTTCACGAGACAGGACTAATAAAATATTCATCACTCTGTATCTTTATACAGTGGCTTATTTTTGTTAAGTCAAATTACAGTGGGTAGAATTGTTTCCTATTACCGGCTCCCGTCAGAGATTTTCTACATTAAGAGCCGGGGATAATGTGGGGAAAATGTATTTTTATACAGTACTGAAATTGTTTTCCTACAAGAGCCGGAAATAATAAAATATTTATCACTCTGTATCTTTATACAGTGGCTTATTTTTATTGAGTAAAATTACAGTGGGTAGAATTGTGTTCTATTATCGGTTCTTGTCAAAGATTTTCTAGATTAAGAGTGGGGGATAATAAGATATTGATCACTTTGTATTTTTATACAGTAATGGCATTGTTTTCGATTACCGGCTTCCGTGAAAGAATTCCTACACGAGCCGGGAATATTAGAAATTAGAATATTTATCACTCTGTATCTTTAAACAGTGGCTGATTTTTGTTGAGTTAAAATACAGTGGGTAAAATTGTTTCCCATTAGCGGCTCTCGTGAAAGATTTTCTATATTTAAAGTCAGGGTTGATCAAAAATTGATCACCCCGTATCTTTTTACATAGTGATGGAATTGTTTTCGATTACCGGCTTTCGTGAAAGATCTACAAGAGCCGAGAATATTAAAATACTGATGATCACTCTGTATCTTTATACGGTGGCTTATTTTTATGGAGTCAAATTATAGTGGGTAGAATTGTTTTCTATTACTGGTTTTCGTCAAAGATTTTCTGCATCAAGAGTCAGGGATATTAAAATATTGATCACCCTGTATCTTTACAAAGTGATGAAATTGTTTTCGATTAACGGCTTTCGTGAAAGATTTCCTACAAGAACCGGGAATAATAAAATATTGCTCACTCTGTATCTTTGCACAGTGGTTTATTTTTATTTTTTATTGAGTCAAGTTACAGCGGATAGAATTGTTTTCCATTACCGGCTCTCGTCGAAGATTTTCTACATTAAGAGCCAGAAATAATAAAATATTGATCACCCTGTATCTTTACACAGTGGTGGAATTGTTTTTTATTACCGGCTCTCGTCAAAGATTTTCTACATTAACAGCCGGGAATAATAAGATATTGTCTACATTGTATTTTTATACAGTGGTGGAATTGTTTTCGATTACCCTTCCGTGAAAGATTCCCTAATAGCCGGAATAATAAAATAAATCTTTACACAGTGGCTTATATTTTTGTTGAGTCAAATTACAGTGGATATAATTGTTTTCTATTATTGTCTCTCATCGAAGATGTTCTACATTAAGAACCAGGGATAATGAAATATTGATCACTTTACACAGTGGTGGAATTGTTTTCGATTACCGACTTTCGTGAAAGATTTATTAAATATTTCAGGTTATCAGTGGTTTAATTAAAACACGATAGATACGTTTTAAGGCACGATAATATATTTCAATGTTTCGTCTTAAAACATAACAGAACGACTGACTTAACTTTAGCTTTTATATTTCATCTTCACACCCTAAACCTTTTCGGGGTGTGGGAAAAATACATTTACAACGCAAAAAGTAATACCCAAGTACAATAAATAAATAAGGCAATAAATACCAACCTTTTGGGTTTATTGTCAATTCTCAGGTCGATTCCTGGTAAGGTAGATTTGTTTTTGTATATTATATTATCCTTTCGGATACATATTTCAACACTCCCACTCAAAAACAAGATCGAAAAATAATAATAATAATAGATAATCCTAAAAGCTATCATATGTACATTTAAGTTAATTGAACCATTTTATTATGATACAAAAATTGCGAATATATTAATTACAAATTAAGTATACAATATGCATTTTTTAAATATTAGCAAAATATGGTTTTAATCTAATTATAACAATAAAAAAAAAAACTTACTAAATTATCAAAAAAAAATATATGTACATAAATAAAGTGTTCTTGGAAAGGTAACGATTTTAATCAACTTCATTCTAGTCCAATACTATTCCTTACATTGACAAATTTAACTGCTGGTAATGGTTTTGTAAATGCGTCAGCCAGTTGTTCACCTGTAGGAATATATTGAACTGATATCTTATTTTGTATGATCTGTTCCCGTGTAAAATGATACTTAATGTCAATATGCTTGGTTCTTTTGTGGTTCGTAGGATTGTTGGCGATGCTTATACAACCGTTATTATCTTCAAAAATTGAAATGGGTTTTGAAATGTTTAAATTAAGGCTATCTAATAAACTTCTGAGCCAAATTGCCTCTCTCACACATTCAAAAAGAGCCATATATTCGGCTTCAGTTGATGAAGCGGCAACAGAAGTTTGCCTTTTCGAATTCCAAGAAATCGTGCAATTTTCGAAGACCCTAAATAAATACCCGGTCGTACTTCGTCTGTCAATCTCATTATTAGCTCAATCAGAATCCACATAGCCTTCAAGCATATTGTCAAAGTTTTTACGTTTGAAAGTTAATTTCAAATCAATTGATCCTTGTATGTATCGAAGTACTCTCTTTAAACATTTCCAAAGCTCTTCATTACATTTACTTTGAAAGCGACTTAATATACTTATAGTTATACATAAGTCGGGTCGTGTACACAGCATAGCATACATTAAGCATCCTATTAGATTTCTACATGGTAGGTTCGAATTAGGCTGATCAATATTTAATTCAACATAATTTAATTTATTTTCTAGTGGGGTTGAAACTGGTTTACATTCAGCCATATTAAATTTATTTAATACAGATTTCAAATAATTCGTCTGATTCAGAGTAATTGTATCTCTGTTTCTCTGTACTCTTATTCCCAAGAAAAGCCTTACTTCATTTAAATCTTTCATATGGAAATTACTCATTAAATATGATTTAAATTTTGACATTGTAGTCATATCTTTTGACTTGCGTCTATATCTCAACGTGACTCCTTCAGTATGCGCGTGCGCCTACTTACCATAGAAGATTTTTAGGTTAGGTTTTTTTGTTTTGTTTTGATTTTGATCTTGTACGTTGTTACCTAAATTCCCTAAGTTTGTTTCTACTGACTCTGGAATTTCTATCCACCCCGTTTAGGATAATTTTTTACTTAGCAAAAAATTAGCGCAAGAAACTCAATCTAGCCCTTAACTATTTATATCTGTAATAAATAAAACACAAAGGTACCTATGTATTTGGGTGAAAAATTTATTTTGACACAAAAAAAATCAAAATGCACATAAAATCTAAAAGAAAGTATCTATAGTCCCCGCCACAGATAATCGAGGTTCCTTCAAAAAATGATTTCTCTGTCGACGATGCCGGGATAAGCAAAAACTGTTG